TATATATATATATATATATATATATATATTTATACATAATTATAACTTAAAATACCTTCTAGCAAAAAGAGCTATTTTCTCGAGAATTTCTACAACAGATCAATTAAACAGGATTTTTTTCTTTCAGTTCCATTTTGCGAAAAAGTATTTGACTGCAGATTTACCATTGACTTTTAAAATACTTTTACTGCTCAGAAATTCGCACCTCACAGGAAAGCCACCGCGTGCCACCTCTCAAGAATCGTATATTCTGAGATTGTGTTGTTATTCAAGTATTGAAATTTAACGTTTTTATGGTGCTGTTGTGAATTGCAGTTAAGGTTCGAGAAAAAAAAAGAAAAGTTATTAAGAAGTCATAATATAATATATAATTGTACTTATCAATAACGGAAACCTCGAATATATCACACTTAAGCCATTTTCTCTTTTTTTTTTTTTTACTACTAGTGATTTGAGTATAATGCACACATACAATTTTACAAGATTCAAAAGGTCATTTTTAGGTTAGAAGTAATACACTCAACCTTTTCGTTAAATATTCCATAATTATTTCAGTTTTGTTTGTTCTGTTGATAAATTTAAAAATAGACACTTTTTTTGTTTCTTCTTATAGAAAGACAAATTTGTAAAGGCAAATATGTTTATATTCTAAGTCTAATTAATGTGGTTTTTCTTCTAACCTTGTTTATTTCAGGGTCGCCACACCAAGACCGGTCAGTTAGCAGCAATCAAAATAATGGACGTTACCGAGGTAAATTTAATTTAATTTTCTTTGAACACGTGTAAAAATATTAAAGAATCCCTTACAGTTAATCTGATTGCAACAGCGCAGTAGTAACCTTAAGATAAGTTACTTATGTCGCGTTTCATACTCTTCTTTCTAAATAACAGGTTAAGTATTTATTAAAATAACAAAAAGAAAATTATCCTTTGTGCAACATTTTCCTTATGGATAATAATTTTATAATTACGTAAATGACTCTTACCTCTCCCATCAATATAAAATAATTCGGAAGATGTAACATTTCTGTCCACTTCCGCTTATAATAAATGACCAAATATGAAAAAAGGCGACTTCGGACTGATGTAAAGTTACAAGGTTATTGTATTTCTTATTGTTACAAATATCATTTACTAGAGTTTGGTCCAGCCCAGCAATGGAGTAATTATTGTGCTAACTGGTTTTATATGTATGTATGTATGTCTCTCTCTCTCTCTCTCTCTCTCTCTATATATATATATATATATATATATGTGTGTGTGTGTGTGTTTTTTACTACTAGTAGTACTCTACTACTATTACTTACTTACGTTTAGGTT